GTCTACATAGTATTCCATGGTGTATATGTGCCACATTTTCTTTATCCATTCTATCGTTGATGGGCATTTGGGTTGGTTCCAAGTCTTTGCTATTGTAAACAGTGCCACAATGAACATATGTGTGTACGTGTCTTTATAATAGAATGATTTATAATGGGATTGCTAGGTCACATGGTATTTCTATTTGTAGATCCTTGAGGAATCACCACTGTCTTCCACAATGGTTGAACTAATTTACATTCCCACCAACAGTATAAAAGTGTTCCTATTTCTCCATATCCTTTCCAGCATCTGTTGTCTCAAGATTTTTGAATGATTGCCATTCTAACTGGCATGAGATGATATCTCAATGTGGTTTTGATTTGCATTTCTCTAATGACCAGTGATGGTGAGCTTTTTTTCATATGTTTGTTGGCTGCATAAATGACTTCTTTTGAAAACTGTCTGTTCATATCTTTCACCCACTTTTTGATGGTTTTTTTTTTTTAAATCTGTTTTAGTTCTTTGTAGATTCTGGGTATTAGTCCTTTGTCAGATTAGTAACTTGCAAAAATTTTTTTGCCATTTTGTTGGTTGCCGGTTCACTCTAATGATTGTTTCTTTTGCTGTGCAGAAGCTCTTAAGCTTAATTAGATCTCATTTGTCTGTTTTGGCTTTTGTTGCTTTTGCTTTTGGTGTTTTAGTCATGAAATCCTTGCCTATGCTTACATCCTGAATGGTATTGCCTAGATTTTCTTCTAGGGTTTTTATGGTGTTAGGTCTTATGTTTAAATCTTTAATCCATATGGAGTTAATTTTTGTATAAGGTGTAAGGAAGGGGTCCAGTTTCAGCTTTCTGCACACGGCTAGCCAGTTTTCCCAACACTGTTTATTAAACAGGGAATCCTTTCCCCATTGCTTGTTTTTGTCAGGTTTGTCAAAGATCAGATGGTTGGAGATGTGTGGCGTTACTTCTGAGGCCTCTGTTCTGTTCCATTGGTCTATATCTCTGTTTTGATACCAATACCATGCTGTTTTGATTACTGTAGCCTTGTAGTATAGTTTGAAGTCAGGTAGCATGATGCCTCTAGCTTTGTTCTTTTTGCTTAGGATTGTCTTGGCTATACAGGCTCTTTTTTGGTTCCATATGAAGTTTAAGGTGGTTTTTTCCAGTTCCTGTGAAGAAGGTCATTGGTAGCTTGATGGGGATAGCGTTGAATCTATAAATTACTTTGGGGCAGTATGGCCATTTTCACAATACTGATTCTTCCTAACCATGAGCATGAAATGTTCCTCCATCTGTTTGTGTCCTCTCTTCTTTCGGTGAGCAGTGGTTTGTCGTTCTCATGAAGAGGTCCTATACATCCTTTGTTAGTTGTATTCCTAGGTATTTTATTCTCTTTGTGGCAATTGTGAATGCCAGTTCGCTCTTGATTTGGCTCTCTTTAAGTCTGTTATTGGTGTATAGGAATGCTTGTGATTTTTGCACATTGATTTTGTATCCTGAGACTTTGCCAAAGTTTCTTATCAGTTTCAGGAGATTTTGGGTTGAGACGATGGAGTCTTATAAATATACAATCATGTCGTCTGCAAATAAAGACAATTTGATTTCCTCCTTTCCTAATTCATAATATAAGATTTGGCAGTGATTACATGGCTAAGACACTAAAAGCACAGGCAACAAGAGCAAAAATAAACTGAACTTCATCAAAATTAAAAACATTTGTGCATCAGCAGAGTAAAATGGCAGTCACCAGAATGGGAGGAAATATTTTCAAATTGTGTATCTGACAAGTAACTGCTACCCACAATATATAAGGAACTCTTTCAATTCAGTAAAAAACAAAACCAAAAAAACCTGTTTTTTAAAATGCAAGCAAATAACCTAAGTAGATATTTCTCCAAAGATACAGAAATGACCCCTAATCACATAGAAAGATGTTTAATATCGCTAATCTGTAAGGAAATACAAAACCACAGTAAAATACCTGTATGTTTTCTTTCAAGAGTTTTATGTATCATTCTTTGATGGCTAGTTGGGCAGCTACCATCTCATGGCTATTGTGAATAGTGCTGATATGAATATGGGCTTGCAAATATCCCTTCAAGATCGTGCTTTTAATCCTTTTGGACATATATCCATAATGGGATTGCTAGATCATTTGATAGTTCCATTTTCAATTTTTGAAAAACTGAATGCTATATGGATTTTGGTAGAGATTACATCAAATCTGTAGATAGCCTTGAGTAGTATGGACACCTTAGTAATACTAAGTTTTCTAACCCATGAACATAAAATTTCATTCTACTTATTTGTGTCTATTTTAATTTTTTTCTTCACTGTTTTATGGTTTTTAGTGTATACGTTTTTTGCCTGCTTGCTTAGGTTTATTCCTAAGTATTTTATTAATGTTGATGCTATTTGTAAATGGAACTGTTTTCCTAATTTCCTTTTTGGATTGTTCACTGTTAGTGTATGGAAACACATCTGATTTTTGAGTATTTATTTTGTATTCAGCAACTTTGCTGAATTTGTATATTCTAACATTTTTTTAAATTGTGGAATATTTAGGATTCCACAGTTCTTTCTACATATAAGGTCATGCCATCTGAGAAGAGAAATGATTTTACTTCTTCTTTTCAAATTTGGATCCTTTTTATTTATTTTTCTTACCTGGTTTCCCTGGCTTGTACTATGGTGAATAGAAGTGATGAAGGCGTGCATCCTTGTCTTGTTCCTAATTTGTAGTAAAGGCTTTCATTCTTTTACCTTTATAGTAAAATCTGTGGGTTTTTAATATATAGTGTTTATTATATCGAGGTGGCTTCCCTCTGTTAAGTTTGTTGAGTATTTTTATCATGAAAGGGTTTTGAATCTTGTTCAGCAACTATTCTTTGTCAATTGAAATAATCATGTGGGCTTTGTCCTTCATTTTGTTAAAATAGTGTATTTCACTAGTTTTTAAAAATGTTAAACCATCTTTGCATTGCAGGAATAAATCTCACTTAGTCACGGTCTATAATCCTTTCAGTCTACAGCCATCCACTGCATAATGATGTTTGGGACAATGGTAGAGTATATTTATTATGGTGGTCCCATGCAATTATAATGGACTGAAGAAAAAATAATATATAAAAAAAGATTATAATGGAGTTGAAGATTTCCTGTCACTTTGTGACATCATAGCTAGTCATGATGTTGTAGCAGAACTCATTACTCACATGTTTGTGGTGATGCTGATGTAAACAAACCTGTGCTGCCAGTTATATAAACATATAGCACACACACTTATGTACAGTACACACTACTTGATAATTAAACAACCATGTTACTGGCTGATGAATTTACCATTTATTCTTTTATAGTGCATCTCTGTCATTAACTGATGCATGACTTTATCTAAAAGTTGGGGAGAGAAGTAAGTTTTACTGAGCTTACGACCGTAAGAGAGTATATGGCTTCCAAATTTCATTCTTCCATAAAAATACTACTTAGACATTTTTCAACTTAAGAGGTATCTATAATTTTTTCTTAAAGACACCAGAGTGGTCAGATGGTAGGAAGACAGGAGCCAAGGTGAAAGCATTGGGCAGACCCTTTATTGTGGTTTTCACATGAAAGAAAATGCAGGGCAGGGTGAACAAATAGGATTGGCTAATTAGAATAATTTTGACTGGCACTAAGCTCTAGGGGTGGTTCCTAGTGACTCTGGTAAGATTATTGCAGAGAATATTGGTCTGGCTCTGAATTTTGTCTATCAGAGGCATACTCTGGGCTGAGCACTTTGCTATATTTAAGAATTGGCTGGTCCTGGGAGGATCAATCTCTCCCCAACTGGAAAGGTTTTTTCAGATGTCAAAACATCATAATATACAAACTTTTTTTTTTTTTTTTTTGAGACAGATATTTCGTTGCCCAGCCTTGAGTCAATAGTGTGATCTCGGCTCACTGCAACCTCTGCCTCCTGGGTTCAAGTGATTCTCTTGCCTCAGCTTCCCAAATAGTTGGGATTACAGGCGTGCATCACCTTGCCTGTCTAATTATTTTTAGTAGAGACAGAGTTTCTCTATGTTGGTCAGACTGGTATCGAACTCCTGAATTCAGGTGATCCACCTGCCTTGGCCTCCCAAAGTGCTGGGATTACAGGCATGAGCCACCACTCCTGGCTCCAGAAAATTTTTAAAAATACATATATCTAAATAAACACAATATACGCATAATCATTAGTCCAAAGAATCTTTATACAGTTGATATATTCATTTTTCTATTGCTATACAGTTACTTTCAGGTTTATACTCATAAACAGTGTAGCAATAAATATCTTTGTACATGGCTTTTGGAGGGATTTTCTTCAAATGATTTTCTTAGGCTGGTATCTCAGAAGTGGGAATATTCTGTTAGAGCCTTAGACTATATCTTTATGGTCCTGAAATCATTTAGCAAAATTATGCTATTTTGAAGCAAAGTTCATAGACATCTTTAAACATTTTAATATTATTTTTATAAATTAACATATTAAGATATGCATGCAATGTAGACATGTAAAAAAAGTAAATATTATTCCGGTTTCTGAAATCCAGCTTTAAAAATAATCCTTTCATATATCTTTTTCAATATACATTTATATAGACACATTTTATGTAAATGAGATTTTTATTCCATTTGCTTACAAACACCTTTTTTTCATACCAGAATATGCCATGGCAATAAATGTGAATCTAGGCTATCATTTTTAATGGTTACATATGTATTGTAAATGTATTTAACCATTTAAGGTTCAGAGAGTATCTTTGTGTAGGTTAGTCTCCTTAAACTAGATGTGCTGTTATTGCTGGATGAAAGAAAATGCATATATAAAACTTCAGTTACATATTGCTAAATTGTATTGCATATAGTTTTAAAGTGAAGGTTTTTTGTTGGATAACTCTTTTTTTTAAAGTTAATTTTGGAAAATTGCGGTAGTTGATTTCAGAAATTTAAAAATACTGTGCCTTTATATTTTCCATCATTTTATCTTTAGCTTTTGCCTCTGATGACAGAGCAGCTACAGTGGATGCCATTTGTGAACACCAAACTTCATGAGCCTTTTGTAAAATTTATATATTGGTCCCTAAGGCAGCTAGATGCTGGAACACAGGTAATTGGTTAATAGGAATTTATCTTCAAGTAATACTCCACTTAATATTACTTCTTGATCTTGTTTCACAATATCTGTTTTGAATATATTCTCTGTATTTTAGAATAATCTTCCCTATGCGTAAGGTATCTTGCTGGGATTTTCATAGGAATTGTGTAAAAACTACTTATCAATTTGAGAAGAATTGACATCTTTCCTTTGTTGAGTCTTCCAATTTTTATGAACATAAAATGCCTTTTTATTTAGAACTTTATCAGTGTTGTATAGTTTTCATCATAAAATTGCTGCATTCTTGTTTAGATTTTTGCTGAGTATTTAAATTTTTGGAGTAATTTTGATTGATATTGTCTTTTTACTTTTGATGTTTACATGTTCATTCATCATGTGTAGAAATAAAATTGATTGTTGTTTATTTTGTATACTGTGACATTGACATTATTAGTTTTAGGAGCTTTCTTGAAGCTTCCGCTTCCTCAGGATTTTCTTTTCTTTTTTTTTTTTTTTTTTTTTTGGGGGTTTTTTTTTTTTTTTTTTTTTTTTTTTTGAGATGGAGTCTTGCTCTGTAGCCCAGGCTGGAGTACAGTGGCGTAATCTCGACTCACTGCAACCTCCACCTCTGAGGCTCAAGTGATTCTCCTGCCTCAGCCTCCCGAGTAGCTGGGATTTCAGACATGTGCCATCATGCCCGGCTACTTTTTTGTATTTTAAGTAGAGATGGAGTTTCTCCATGTTTGTCAGGTTGGTCTTGAACTCCTGACCTCAGGTAATCTGCCTGCCTTAAGCCTCCCAAAGTGCTGGGATTACAGGCATGAGCCACTTTGTCCAGCAAGGATTTTCTACATGGAAAATCATGTTATCTACAAATGAAGACAGTGTTTTTTTTTTCTTTTTGATATGTATGCCTTCAATTTCCTTTTCCTACCTTACTGCATTAGCTAGAGTTTCTAACAGTATGTTGATATGAGTGGTGAGAGCCTTCATCCTCTTAGGAGGAACCAGCTGAGTGTGGTGGCTCACGCCTGTAATCCCAGCGCTTTGGGAGGCCTAGGCGGGCAGATCACCTGAGGTTGGGAGTTGGAGACCAGACTGACAAACATGGAGAAACCCCATCTTAAAAAAAAAAAAAAATAGGAACCATTCATTCTGCCATCACTAAGTACAATATTAGCTGTAGTATTTTCATAGATATTTTTAATCAAGTTCCTCTGTATTCCTGTTTTTCTGAGTTTTTAAAAATCATGCTGTTGAAATTTTTCAAATACTTTTTCTGCATTGATTGAGATCACATGTTCTTTTTCATCTTTAACTTGTTAATATGAATTACATTGACTTTGAAATATTGAATTAGCCATGCATCTCTGAAATAAAACTCACTTGGTTGTGATGTTTAATTCTTTTTGTATATTTCTATATTAGCAAATTCTATTTGCTAACATTTTGTTAAGGACTTTTGTTTCTATATTAATGAGAGATATTTATCTATAGTTTTAAACTCTCTTTGGTTTTGTATCAGGGCAATATTAAGTTCATAAAATGAATAGGGAAGTGTCTTATCCTTTATGTTTTCTGGAAGAAATTATGTAGACTTAGTGTTCATTCTTCTTTAAACATTTGGTAGAATAATTCAGTGAAACTATCTTGATGAGATTTCTTTTAGGGGAGGTTTTAAATTATGAATTTAAGCTCTTTAATAGAGAGCTGTTCTGGTTATGTAATTCATATTGATGATTTGTAGTTGTTTGTGCTTTTTGAGGAATTGAACTGTTCAAATGTATGCAAATTTATGAGTGCAGAGTTTTTCATAGTATTCTCTTATCCTTTTGATGTCTTCAGTATCTGTAGTGATAGCCTTGGTTCCTTTTTGTTAAGGATAATTTGTGTTTTCTTTCTTTACTTTGTCTTTTTTGCTAGAAGTTTCTCTGTTTCTCTATTTTATTGATCTTTCAAAGGATCATCTCTTTGTTTCATTTATTTTTTTCTGTTTTTCTTTTTGAGACAGGGTCTTACTCTGTCGCCCAGGCTCAAGTTCAGTGGCACAAGTTGAGTGGCACAGTCTTGACTTACTGCAACTTCAGCCTCCCGGGCTCAAGCGATTCTCCTGCCTCACCCTCCCAAGTAACTGGGATTACAGGTGCCCACCACCGTGCCCGGCTAATTTTTGTGTGTGTGTTTTTTTTTTAGTAGAGATAGGGTTTCACCATGTTGACCTCAAGTGATCCGCCCACCTTGGCCTCCCAAAGTGCTGGGATTACAGGTGTGAGCCACTGCACCTGGCTTGACCCTTGAATTCTTTAGAAGTTTGTTGTGAGTCTTTCTGTTATTTTTCTCTTTTTCTAGTTTAGCTTTGTTGTTGAGGTTGTTTTATGGCTGAGAATGTATATTCAGTTGTTTGGTGGAATGTTGCATAAATGTCAATTTGATCCTGTTGGTTGATGGTATTTGTGAGTTTTGCTGTATCCTTGCTGATAATTTTGTCCTGTTCAATCAAATGTGGAGAGGCAAATGGATGTTGAAGTCTCCAGCTATAATTGTAGATGTATATGTTATAAGCTTCATCTGTTTTGCCTCACATATCTTGTAACTTTGTTGCTTTGTGCTTGTACATTTAGGATTATGTCTTCTTGGTGGATTTGCCCTTTTAGCATTTTATAATGTCCTTCTCTGTCTCTGATCATTTGCATTGCCTCTGAGTCTCTTTATCTGATACTAATAGAGAAACTTCTGCCTTCCTTTGATTCATGTTCTGATAATGTATCTTTTCCCAGTCTTTTTCTTTTGACCTGCTTGTATCTAGAGTGAGTTTAAAAAAAAAAAAATAAACATCGTATAGCTGGATTTAGAAAAAATCAACTTTGTCAAGCTCTGTGTTTTAATTGGTGTTTTAGGCCGATTACATGTAATGTACTTATTGATATGTTAGGCTTAAGCTATAACTCTATTTTTTTAACTACTGGGTGGTTCTTTTTGTTTCTCTTTTTCATTTCTTTGGTTCTTTTTTCTGCTTTCTTACGGGTTTCTTGAATGTTTTTTAGAATTTTATTTTTCTTTATTTATACTGTATTGAGTGTATCTCTTTCTATAACTTTTCTAATAGTTCTTGGTATTCCATTTATTTTAATTTAGGATTTTTTGGGAGGGGGGTGAAGTCTCACTCTTGTCCTCCAGGGTGGAGTGCGGTGGCACCATCTTGGCTCACTGCAACCTCCATCTCCCGGGTTCAAGCGATACTCCTGCCTCAGCCTCCCAAGTAGCTGGGATTACAGGCTCCCACCACCATGCCCAGCTAATTTTTGCATTTTTAGTAGAGATGGGGTTTTGCCATGTTGGCCAGGTTGGTATTGAATTCCTCAAGTGATCCACCCGCCACAGCCTCCCAATGTGCTGGGATTACAAGTGTGAGCTACTGTGCCTGGCCTAGAGTAGGTTTGCTGATGACACATCCTCTTAATTTTTCCTAACATATTTTGATTTCTTTTAATTCCTGAAGGATATTTTCACTGGGTATCAGATTCTAGGGTGATAATTCTTTACTTTCAGTACTTGAAAAATGGGCCAATTCTTTCTGCCCTCATGGTTTCTGATGAGAAATTGGCTGTCATTTGAGTTATTTTCCCCATATATGTAAGGTGTCATTTTTCTTACACACATTTCTCTTTAGTTTTTATAAGTTTGACTATGATGAGTCTTGGCGTTGATCTCTTTATATTTAGCCTGTTTGGTGTTTACTTAGCTTCTTCAGTCTCTGGGCACATTTTTTTGCCAAGTCCAGGAAGTTTTCAATTATTGTTTCTTGAAGTTCATGTTTTGTGTGCATGTGTATGTGTTTCTTTCTTTTTTTTTTTGAGACAGGGTCTCATGTGCTGTTGCCCACGTTGGAGTGCAGTAGTACAATCATGGCTCAATGCAGCCTTACTCTCTTGGGCTCAAGCTGGGACCATAGTCATGTGATACCTTGCTCAGCTAATTTTTTGTTTTCATAGAGACAGGGTCTCCCTCTGTTGCCCAGGGTGCTCTTGAACTCCTAGGCTCAAGTGATCTTCTCACCGTGGCCTCTGAAAGTGCCGGGGTGAGCCACTGCACCCAGCTTCTTCAAGTACTTTTTCAACCCTACTTGATTTTTCCTTTCCTGGGACTCTAATGACATGATTTTAGATGTTGTGTTATTCGTTGAAGTTCTGGTTGTTGTTGTTTTTGTTACTTTTCCAGGTTGTTTGCAGTTGTTCAGGTTGGGTGTTTTCCGTTGTTTTATTTTCCAGTTATTCTTTAATCCATCTCCTCCATTCTGTTATTGAGACTGTTAACTCTATTTCCAGTTCTGAGATATCTACTTGTTTCTTTTTCTGTGTTTTTTTTTGGTAAGGCTTTCTATTTCTTTGATGAGATTTTCTAAAAGTGCATGCAGGTGATCCTTTTGTCATGGCTGCTTTAGAATCTCTGTCAGACAATTCTGACATTCTGTGCTGTTGGTGTTGGCAGCCATTGATTGTCTTTTTTTCATTCAGTTTGAAATCTTTCTGGTTCTTGGAATGATGGGTGATTTTAGATTGAAAACTAGACATTTTGGGTCTAGATTTGCTTTAGCAAAAAGTTTCAGCATCCTCAGGCGAAGCTTCAGCAACAACCCAGAGTGTTATTTTGGATTTTTTTCTCTTTTCCTTGAATTAAAGGTAAATACTGTCCGTATTTTTTTTAAATTTTTATTTGTTTCATTATAAAAGTGTAGTAGTAAAGCAATAGAGATAATTTTGAAAACAAAAAAAGTTTACCTTAATCCTGCCATTTTAACACACTTATTGTAAGTAGAGTTTTGAACATTTTTTCTATTTTTTACACATAAGTTTAGAAACACATAAGTATTATTTTTTCTAATAATGTTAAGATTGTATTAACAGTATATTAAATTAGATCGCACTGCTTGTGTGTCTCACCACTCAACCATTTGGCCTTTTGACACCCGCAAAACCTCAATAGATTTGTTTTTAATTTTACATGCAGAAATTTAACACACTGCAGGATCAATACTGAGTTAGGAACCAGTTGGTCACAAATTTCCATGCAGATGGGGAAACTGCTATAAAACTCAGTCATGTGAGATTTAGGAATTGGGCCATAATAAAGGAAATTTTAAGTTGTTTCTAAATCTGGGTTGAACATTCTGATCTGCAGCAGTTTGAAATGCATTCCTTTCATTTGATTCTTAATTCTTAATATCAAATACCATTAGATCATATATTATTTTAGAAGTAGTTTCATGACACTATTTCTGTTTTGCCCTTTTTTTTTTTTATTCTCCATGAGAATCATCCATGATTCTAACCCAGTATTTTACTGTTTAGAAATTGCTAAAAGTTTTTGGAGTCACTATGATTTTTGTAGTCAGACTAAGCAGAGGGCAGTGATAATCATTTCATAAGCGAACACAGAAAGATGTGCCTGATAAGCTGATGGTAGAGCAGTCAGTAACTGAGAGAGTAGGTAGTGCACCTCTGAAGTTCCCTTGATATTTCTCTGTCAGAAATATAGCTTGATTTTATATTCTTATATGTTTTAGAAAAATATACAGTCATACTTAAATAATTTTTTATGTTGATAATAAAACTGCCACTTTCCGATTTTGCATATTTTCAACTTCATTTTTTAAAAATTAGCCACAGATTCACTTACTTTTAATACATATATTTGATTTAATATTTAAAATAGTTATTGGCCAGGTTCAGCGGCTCATAATCCTGTAATCCCAGCATTTTGGGAGGCCAAGGTAGGAAGATCACTTAGGCCCAAGGGTTTGAGACCAGCCTCAACAACTTAGTGAGACCCCTATCTCTACCAAAAAAAAAACCCAACAGAGGCCAGGCGTGGTGGCTTACGCCTGTAATCCAAGCACTTTGGAGGCCAAGGTGGGCAGATCACCTGAGGTTGGGAGTTCAAGACCAGCCTGACTAACACAGTGAAACCCCATCTTAATA